GAAGCTATTGAGATTTTTATATGATTTGTGAAATTTATTATTGTATGAGAATATCTTTGATTAAATCTAATTGTATCACATTCCTGGTTTTAGCGCAACTATGTCGCATAGCTACCCTAATTAAATATAATGTAATTTAAGTAAACTAATTAATAAAGCAACAAATATAGCTTTTAAATGTCTTTTTTTCTTTAAGTGTTTGTCTCAGAAAGTTTTTCGTGCAACTAATGTCAATTTTAAAAAAATCCCACCTCAGTAAAGTCATTTGCATAACTATGACAATTTTAAAAAATTTTGGGTTAATAAAGTCATTCATGTAACTATAACAATTTTAAAAATCCTGCTTCAATAAATTTATTCGTATAACTACATATAACAATTTTAAAAAATCACACATCAGTAAAGTTCTTTATTTAGTGGGGTGTGTAGCATCATAATCTGCCCCATAACCATCATTTTGGTTAATCTGCATATAGGTGGGTTTTGAGGGATTTGAGCACTTTTTAAACTTAGAACATGTCAAATAACCTGAAAGGATTTCAAGGTGATCGCAGTTAAGGTTAAGGTCATTAAGCGTCTTGATAAATTTATTAGTGCTACCATCTTCTTTTATTTTAATGTTCAGATCCGTGGTAAGATCTCGAATTGTTTGTTCATATTAGTTAACAATTTCAAAGGTATAATTCTGATTGGGGTTAAAACCTTTAAGGAAAACTCCACTAATAATAGTACTTTCACATGGTGTTTGGGTAAAGTTTGTGAGACCAATGATTTTTTCTTTGAACGATGCGCTTGCAAACACAGGTTGGTATAATTCTTCTAGCAAAAAACTAGAACATATACTTTTGTTGTCAGTTTCCATGAGAAGGGTTTTATATATGATTATTTCTGCTCATTCTAGAGCAACAATCGAATATGCGGCAAATGAAAAAATAAATAGTAAGATTGAATATAATATGTTATTCATTTAGGCATTCGAAGAGACGAGAGATTTATAGTTGAAATAAAGAAAATTTATTAAATAGGTAAACTCTACTACTATATAGGGTGAGTCTATATAAGTTCAAATATAAATATAATTGTTAATATAAAAAGTAATATGGTTAGCGTGTTTTAGAGTTAGCACTTGAGACGAAACCAAACTAGTGCAGTAGTGCAGTAGTGTGAGCCCCGAAATTGGTCCTACCATTAAATTGGGAGTTTTTATATTGCCTTTTGATATTGAGCTAGATAAACTTCAAAATTTGAAAAAATTTATTGAAAAGGCAAAACATTTAAAGTATATAGAAATAG